TTTTCATGTTACATGATCTTTCTTTAAAAAATGTCAACATTTTCAAAATTTCTGTTTATTTCTATGTTTAAATGGAAGAAGCTCCTTGATTTTCAGACTGATTTCAGACTTGTGGATGCCATTGCAAAGAATGTGTCTTTGAATGTGCTTCAGCTCCAGATGTAAGTTATTTTGGAAATTCAGCTTAAAAATAATTTGTAATAGTCACAGAAGGTACACTGTTTAATAACATAGATTATTTTAGTAAATTGAATCATACTTAAAGGGATAGTTCACCCAAAAATGAAAATTCTGTCATCATTTACTCACCCTCATGTCATTCCAAACCTGTATGAGTTGCTTTCTTATGTTGAACACAAAAGAAGATATTTTGAAGATTGCTGGTAATCAAACAGTTGGTGGTTGCCATTGACTTCCATAGTAGGAAAAAAAAATTACTAGGAAAGTCAATGATGATAGAATTTTCATTTTTGGGTGAACTATCCCTTTAATACAGCTAAATGTCAGTTTTACAATTTACAATTTTCAGTACATATAAAATCATTTTTCTACAGGTATTCACTGAAGAGTGAATTATCCTCTTAGAAATTATGGTGATTTTTATCCTTTTGTGGAAGCAGATGAGAAAATGCTACAGATGCATAATTTAGCCTGTATGCGGGCTGTCTTTAATCTGCCTTTTCATGTGTCATTGGCTACAGATATATCCAAATACTGTGTGTGTGTGTGCGTGTGTGTGTGTGTGTGTGTGTGTGTGTGAATTCACTAATGCATTTCTCTGATATGCTGCCAACACTTCAAACTACTATTAAAGGTGCTAATGGACCTTGTTCCTCATACAGAACTCTGTCCTCTGGCTCTGACATTTGCACATAAGTTGCACCAAACTAAATTACATTTTACTAACAAACTTTTTAAAATAATGTGGTTTTATATCTGAACAAAAAGTGTGATGCAAACCTATGTTTTTTTTGTTTGTTTTGGTTTAATTAATTTATTTATTTGAGTGATAAAAAAGATATCCCAAATCCCCTTTGTAAAAACCCTGAACAAAATGAAACAATAACCTGACTTAATCCAATGTTCAGATTTCTTGTATGCAAATTAGTGCATATTTAATTAGATAATACCTTGTCTGAATATGTAAACATCACCTTTTAGTAAACTTGCAATACAAAAAAAAAATTTATTTGTTATAAATGAACAAGAATTGTGAAACAAATGTATACGTTTAGATAATACAGTAAAGAGGCTTGGGCTAGTTTTCACACGATTTACTCTAGTGAATATTTCTCAGGTTAGGTTTAATGCTCATGTTACAAAAATGCTAAACTTATTGGTGGCACTGATATTGATGGATGTGGATATCGGATGTTGTGGTATCAGCTGCAAATGTCTTTTTTTCCTGTCATCTCAGCTTTTCAATTTAATACACCAGATGTGGCTGGGAGTAAACAGGAAATACAGGAAATTCGAAATGTAGTTTAACTACTACACAAAAAATAAATAAATAAATATCAGTTACATATTGATTACATATTCACAGATTATTTTCGGCAGCACTAAATATGCATGCTGAGGATCGGAGCATGGGGTCACAGAATAACTCCAGTAGTCAGGGTATAGAAAGCCAATAATTTGATTTCATATAGAATTCTAAACAGGCCTCCTAACTAGAAAAGATCAACCCAAAGCAAACAAAACAAAGTAAAATGAAACAAAAACATTTAAGTATGCACTCACATAACGAAAGTTATTTTCAATTTACTTTTATTTTTGCTCTTCTCCAGGTTTATTAAATCTACCTTTGTTATCAACTCTAAATAAAACTCAGATGAAGTCATTGAGTCCAGATGTGTCTCCTTCACAGACATTATGATCTACATGAATATTGTCTGTCTGTCTGTCTCTGTCTTTGTCTGTCTGACTGTCCGTCTGACTGTCCGTCTGTCTGTCCGTCTGTCCATCTGTCTGACTGACTGACTGAAAGAAAACCTATTGTGTCAGTGAATTGGCCAGTGCCACCAAATTAAAAAGTGTTTTTGTCATTGTGTGAGCCACAGAGGTCCAAATGTTTAAGGTTTTTTTTTTTCACCATAGAAATATTTGTTATATGCAAATTTAATTTAATTTAATGTTGTGTTATATGCAATTTCATTTCATATTTGTTATATGCTGTGTTATATAAGTGTTCCTGTGGCTCAGTGGTGGAGCATTGTGTTAGCAGTGCAAAATGTCGTGGGTTCAATTCCCAGGGAACACACATACTGGTAAAAAATTTAGAGCCTGAATGCACTGTAAGTCACTTTGGATAAAAGCGTCTGCTAAATGCATACATTATTATTTATTATTATTAATTAATTATTATATGCAATTTTTCTCTGTTTTTGTTGACAGACTGCTATACTATACAAGAATGTCAGTTTTGTCTGTGTATCACTGAGCATTTTAGATACATATTTCAACAGTAGGTAAAATGTATTGGTAAAAGTACTGTACTGTAGTACACAAAAAGAAAATTAACATTTTTATTTATACAGTACATTGTGTACAAATGTGTTACATGTAACCTGAAAATTCACCATTGCTTAATCATTTTTACACACTCTGTTGTCTTCCACTAACACCACCACCCCTATAGCTCTTCCACAACAAGCAACTGTGAATGTTCAGTTTACATGTAACATGTAAAAAAAAATCTCTCATTTGAGAATTGAGCCAAAGTGATTATGAAAAGCTGTAAATCTCCATGCAGGTTAAAAGTTAATGATCTACTCATCATCTTCATATTGTGACATAATATTGTGACCTTACATGCTACAGAATGAAGGTTATTTCTCTGAAGTTGAATTTGGCCCCACTGATTAAAGGAAATTATCTGTTTTTTTTGTTTTGTTTTTTGCATTCCAACTGTGACAAGGAATTTTCATCTAGATCATCATCATCAAAACCATCAGTCATCTGATTGTCAGTCCTTTGAAGAGGGGAGTATCAACATCTTTCTCTGATCACGCATGTGTGTATGCATGCATCCTGTCTTTCTAATCTTCTCCCTCTTCATTATTTCCTTCTCATCGCTCTTGTCATGTAATACTGGTTCCCTTATAAAACCTTCAGCCAAATATAATGCAAATTAACATACAATATATGACATACATTGCAGTAATTTATATGCATGTAAGTGAGACAATGCCACAAACACTAGTCTGATTATTTTTGATCTGAAGCACATGTGCCCAACAAAGCACTAGAAATCATCTCAACCTACAGCAACTGAATCAATTTACATAAATGTATGTAAGGGCATTATTACCATAATCCTATATGAAAGTATACTTTGCTTGTAATAACAGAATTTTTTTTCCATATATCATGGCATTCTTCTAACCTTTTTTTCATGGGTTTATGGCTCTCAGTAGGCAAATAAAAATGCTAATACTAATAATATAAATTTATATTCATATTTTGTAATTTATAAAATATAAATCTCATTTAGGTAAACCTTCTTTCCAGGCTCATGCTTTTAAGAGTATGAAAGTGCATGAGAGGTGTGAATAAGTTGGATATTCCAGTAGGATGAGATGTTTCCCCTCTGAGATCTAGAAACATTTTTGAAACATTTTAGTCCTTTTCTAACACTTGAAACTGAAGCATTGTGCATGGAATATAAATTTAAAATTTCCGTTAATCTTGAGGGAGAAAAATGATTGGCTCTCAGATCCTTTTTGGCTGAACAAAGAGAAGGAGCAAAGGTTGTGTGAATTTGTGCTAAGTCTAACTAAAATAGGAAACACGGCACATGACCAGTGCTTGCGTAAATAACAGAGAGACAGCATCTGTGACCTGCATCCCTTGGGTATATGCAGAAATATGCATCATAGTGTGCAGCCAATTGTAGTTTCCGTTTCTTTAGCAATTGGATGGACATGAAATTCCTGTGACAGTGAATGTTTTAAAAATGAAAATGCAGCCATTGTTGTCATCTACTCCCCCTCATGTCGTTTCAAATCTGCAGAACTTACTTTCATCCATGTAACACAAAATGAGAAGGTTTTTGAGTTCATATATAGAAGTGTCAAATGCCAAAAAGGGCATATTTTTCACTGCTTTTATAGTTGGATTTGTGACTGGAGTTTTGTTGGCCTGATAGAGAAAGAGTCATAAAATTCCTTACTTTTCCTCTGCCAAATTGTTGACACTGATTTTATTGATGCGTTCTTTTTAGGACCACCAAACATGGAATGAAACTAAAATTTCACCAATTTCACTATCACATTTGACATTTACTGCACATTTACCTCTTATCCTGACATAACAGACAAAAGACTCACCATGATTAAACTTAAAAGAACTGTTTAATTTACATTAAAATGACCTCGTGTTGGTTTAATTGAAAGGTCAGAGTTGTTTTATGTGTTTTGAGAAAAAAAGACACTTGTTAGTGTTACATGTTTTGTTGAGTTGGGAATTAGACGAGTTTCCATGGTTGGAGTTTTGGAGATGACCATTGTGAAGAGTGGAGCTTGTGCTTAGTTTGAGGCTTTAGCACTAAAAGGACTTGTTGAATATGCTGTCAGCCAGCGATATTTAAAGTAATCAATACTTTCTATTATTTGCTCACATATGGCTGCTGTTCTTTGTCGAAAAATGTATGTGTATATTTAGTATGTTGGTTTGTGCTGCATCTAGCTAGCAATTACTTGTAAAAAGTTGACATTTTAAAATAATTTTTAGTTTTAAAATGTAAGAGATAGTACAATGAATTAATGCTAAAATAATCTCAAAATCAAAATAATTATTTTATGGTTTTGCGGTTATTGCTTACACCTTGTTATTGCAATTCATGATAATGTAATTATTATAATAATTGTATGATTCACAAGGACACTGAAAAGTATAATACATTGCTGTGCATCCGTATGATTTTTATACTTATGTAAACACATGATTGCATGACTGACAGATCTATCACATGGGGGGCGGGGCTTTACAGAATAGAACTGTCAGTGCAACATGTGAACTGCCAATAGTGGAGGAAACCGTATACAACACTGAGTGGATTTCTTAGTCGCCGCTTACTTTGACCAGCCACTCTTTATCGTAATAAAACGAGCTCCACTTTCTTGTTAATTACCGCTCATTGCTTTTCCTAGTTAAGCTCTGAAGGACCTTGCTGAACAACGACTATCATCACCATCACCATCACCATCAGAAAGAGAAGTAGCCAGACCGACAGCCGCTCAGCTGAAGCGTTTAATAACAGAAGGAAACAACTGCGGCGCAGTGCGTGTGAATTAAAAACGTCGATTATGGAGAAGTTACCAACTCAATTTTAGGATCATTTCCAGACGAGAGAAAAGTGCTCAAATCCATCGGGATGGTTGAAGAGTTATATCAAGGTAAGCGTTTGTTTTCCGGGAAACATTAGTGGCATCATTGTGAGCGCTTTCCGTTCGGTTATTGTTGTGTTGCTTGCACATGTTGCGTCTGTTTTTGTGCTTTCGTTTGTTAAAATGAACAAAGGTTTCAAATGAAGACTTGATAGGACTGTTGTTTAAACTTTAACGATTGAATTATTTATTTTGCTCAAATTATACTGTCCCAATGTCTTGCTTTATATTGTTTTTTTGTTCTTTGCATTTTCAAATGAATGATAGCCTACTCTGTTTTAAGATGCTCAGTACATCATTACAGCTGACAGATACAGACAGTTTTCAGGGCAGCATGCGTTTGTTATTGCACAATCATTGGCGGAGAATAACATTGATTTATTTTGCTCAAATTATACTGTCCCAATGTCTTGCTTTATATTGTTTTTTTGTTCTTTGCATTTTCAAATGAATGATACTCTGTTTTAAGATGCTCAGTACATCATTAGAGCTGACAGATACAGACAGTTTTCAGGGCAGCATGCGTTTGTTATTGCACAATCATTGGCGGAGAATAACATTGCCATATGAAAATAAGTAGTTTAAAGTCAACATACCAGAAGTAAGTGCAAGATTTAGCATCATCTGCTGATGTTGCACAAAGTTCAGCAGTCAGATCATGATCATGTTTAATACAATACAGAAATCGACTTCTATGTTTGTAATAACTTGTGGTTCTGTACGTTTATTTGAACAGAATTTAATAAAACATTAAGTGAATGAACATACAGCCATTACATCCATCCAAACCATCAAATCAGACAGATGTGCGCTTTAATAGCAACCCACTCTGATTCCTCCAACAAAAGAGCAGTTATTCTTCACTGCATTTATAGCGAGTCACATTTCTCGTGTTAGTTCTAAGAGGTTCGTCATTTCACATCAGAATCTTTTTTTATGTAACTCAAGAACTGACTTGTCATGTGACAGCTTTGAAATGATTATTGCATGCATCATCTCTTAGAACTTAAAGTCTATTTTATGAGATTTCATTATTTAGAAAACGTATTTTGGGGAGGGGATTCACTGTTTAGTAACCTCACACATTTCCCAACACGAGTTTGCAGCGGCAGGGGCTTTAACTAAAACATGGATGCAGCATCACCTCTGATCTCCTGGGAGATGATTGCAAAAGCTGTGTGTCACCAGAGAGTGTAGTGAATGCTCATTAAGTTAAGCCTACTGTTTTTTCTCTCTCCATAAATCCACTAGAAGCTTTAAAGTGACTAACAGTGGTGATAGGAAACTCAATACTGTGTCCATTTTAGCTGTAGTTTCAGTTGGTTTTAGATAAATGATTGTCGTCGGCTGTATACAGGTTTGTTTTGAGGTGTTTGACAGGTGTTCTTTGCCACTGCCAAGTAATAGCATTCTTTTGACATGACCTCACCTTTTTTGAAAAACAGTCTATATAGTGGAGGCAAATACTGGATTCACAAAACAAAAATGTAACATGGCTACAAAATCAAATGTAACTTTACTGGAATGGGAAGCAATTATTGTGAAGTATGTCTATTGCACTAGTAATCTGTTCTGCTATTCTCCTAAAATGCCTGGCGGGAAGAAGACACACTGCCATCTTTACAAAAACACAGCGTTGATTAAAAATCACAGTTTTTCTACATGTTCTTTTGTCTTCGGACTAAAACTAACTAAATTGGTTTATTCCCCAAATAATTTTTTTTTTTTTTTTTGAATGTTAAACAAAATAAATACTTAAATTCAACAATTCTCAAGGACTGCCCTTAAGCAGGCTATAGGCAGTTTAGTAGTCTAAATAAATAAGTAAATATATTTACTGATTAACAGCAACCTCATTTGTGGTCAACCTGTGCAATCTAGAAAAGTGGTTTTATCTGGTATCGCTTGAGGACCCAGATTTCTGCAGTATTACTTTTCTGTTCTGTGATTTAATTCATTTTGATCATTTAATTCGATGCAACTGCATGATGTTTTATAATTACCAATGAAATTGGCAAATGAATGAATGTGTGTAACGAAAACCCCTGCTGTTACAATAATTAGCAACCTTATGTGATATACTGTGATCAACATTGGAAAGGTATAAACAGGACAGATGGATATAGGTGCAAAAATCACACACACAAAATATAATAGTGATATATGTTTATTTTGTATCTTAATGCTCCTTACACATGAACATTTTTCTTGGGAATGCACTCAAGGACTCAGTATGTATTGATTACAGATATGGTGTGTCTTCATACAGTAGCCGATAAGAGATGACGGGGTTTGTAGGGCTTAATCTGGAGCCTCAGAAGATTGGCAGGAGGTTTTTGAATTGTAAAGCTGTTGGATATGGCTCCCCTCCAGCTTATGTCTCAAACTGAGTTCAAGGATGATTCTGTTTTCATTTTTTATTTAGAATTTTTTTCCTTTTATTCTGCAGGAAAGTAATCACACTCCTCAGTAAGGCACTAATGGAGAATGAGACCATCCCTTTGGGCTACGTCCCACATTATCTTCTTCGAGGAGATCCCTTTGCTTCCAAGCTGTCCAAGGAGGCAGACATAGTGGCGGCGTTCTACATCCTTATCATCGGTAAGTGTACAAGTTGGTTGTTCATGTGAAAGTTCTTTATAAGCAGCATGTGAATTGTCATGGATAAGATCAGAAATAATTATTTAATAATAATAATTTGAATTCAGATATTTAATTTAGGTTACAGCAGAATGTCTGGAGTTTTAGTGGGTATGATTGTACTTATTTCTTGTTGATTTTAAGAAGTTTGTCTGGTAAAATGTCTTTAAACAAGTATTTGTAGTGAATTTTGTAGTGAATTTAATGAACTGAAATTTTCATTATAAAATAGTTACCAACAATGACATGATAAAAGCACCAGATATCTTACTGACTCTCAGTGATGTCAGAGAATGAGGTTTTGCAATCAGTTATTGTGTTACATAATCTTGCCTGAACATATAACAGCCTTTCATAAGAACTACTTAACGTCATATCCTCCTGACTACCAGCTATGGAGTTTTGTCCTCTGTAGAGGACATTGTGTTTTAGTGATTTCTCTGAGACGTTACATGTCACAGTTTTAAGTCTGGATGTCCTGTACAGAGCACATTCAGGGCTTTTCAAAGATAGCAAATGATTGGATGTTTCACCATGACCACTCCCTCTCCTTGGTCTTTAAAAATGGTTGACATTCATTTAGTGATCAAATGTAACACCCTAATGGAAATATGATAATATTTTGCAATTATCATTTAAATCTGACTAATTTTCTAATTGTTTGTCATAAATCAACATCTCAGGAAAATGTTATGGGGTTTCAAATCAACATATGACCTTCTGTTATGAAACAGGACGTCGTCCACTGTAGAGGACACCAGGACTTAAAGCATGTTTATTACACATTTTGGGAGACACAACAAATGAATAGAGAAATATATATCAATATTCCTATTAAATATTAAATATTATTATGAAAATCTTGCTTATTATTACTCCCATTATTGCACTTATTTGTTCATTCTATGTTGCCCCAAAAACACATTAATATGCAAATTAGATACAGTTTATAGATACATTGTATATAATGGAAAAACTTGTTTATGGCCATTTTACACACATTTTGCATAAAAAAAAATGTTTTTTAAAAATATCTTTCATAACGTAGTTGAGAATCGTCTTTATATAAAGTTTGGTATAAAAAATGAAAATTGATTTGTGATTAAAACAAACATCCCACTGTGTTTGCCTTTTCATGTCTATTCATGTCTTTTTATTTATTAAAAAACAGGACTTTTTAAAGTCCCGATCTCTTCTACAGAGGACATGGCATAACATATGAATAAAATATAATTTTTCAAAAAATGTTTTCTTATGCTCTAAACAATGTAATGACATGACAAAATACTAAATTCACAAAACTGTTTTTTCCTGGTAGTCAGGAGGATATTGGTTGGTAGGGCCTACATGCTAATGAACAGTCTTGGGAGTAGACACATTGACATAATCTTTAAAACAATGGGTCCAAACCCTGATGGTTCATTATGAATAAAGCCCACCCGAGAACTGTAACTAAACTGAATATGGATTTAATGAGTTTGTTTTTAATAAATATGTGTGCACCATTGCCATGTGTTCTGGCAAAAGAGAAAAGATTCTGCAAGATCCATGCTTTATTTATGAACTGATGGATTTCATTTTAAGATGTTTGTATTGACTAACAATAGTAGCCTGTGTACATATAAAATATATAAGCACATTATAGAGCTTTTTCAGTTACTGTACTGACACTAGGTGTTATGAATGCCTATTTGCCAACATGTATTTAATTCCTTCTGAATTGAAAAAGTTATCCGTTTAAATGAAATGTTAAAGAGAGGCTAAAACCCAACAAACATGAGAGGTCGGCCCGACGTGCAGATCATGTCTATATTGCGTCGGTCGGTCCAGGTGCAGAAGGTTAAAGCTAAACACTTTCTGAATTCTTAAGAAAGAACCAAAACTTGACTTGTAACTTTCCCTTAACATATTTACTGACATATCGCTCAAGACTTACTGATATAAAAATTATACTTAAACTTTATTTGGAGTACAACTTGTGCACAATGCACTTTTCTTAATATTAAGCCTAAAATGTGTTTTAATGTCACTATTGATGAGGATTGTATGATGTTTGAATATCATCGGTCTTTAAATGCAAGAAATTTCAAGTGTATACCTGAAGTATACTTGCAATAGTTCTACTTTAGTACAATCAAATATACTTCAGTATATCTTTAGTTGGACTTCAGCACTACTTCTGCACAATTAAAGTGCATTAAGTACAAAATTAGTTGTTCCAATTTAGGAAACTTTAAGTATACCAGTTTAGTATACTAAAAAAAATGCAGGGTATTTTTATTAAATACATAAATATGTAAATGTTTTCACTAGGGCAGTTTTAAATAATTTCTAACTGACATGACTTCTCCAAGAGGATGATTGCTATGTCCACTCTGCATAGTTGTTAAAAATAATTCAGATGTTTTGCCAATGCATGTCTTGTCTTTTATGCAATACATTTTTGAAAAGTTTTATTTGATAATCCTTTTTTTGTTCAGCACAACATCATAAAGTCCAGTCATCCATCAGCAACCATGGTATTAAAGCTATTCTTTGAAGGACGTTGCATCGCTTTTTTTTATTATTCAGATAGTTTCCTTTGCCGAGATTTCCATGTAATGGAAATTGTCTTTTGACCTGAAAGATGTGTGTGATTTCAGTGAAAAGTCTGAATCAATAGTTCTTCCTTGTTGTATTTCACAGTCTGTTCTCCTCTGTTTGAATCACGGGATAAGTCAGAAGGTGTTGCAATCGACATTTACTCTCAGTAACACATACAGATCAACAAATGCCAGTGATGAACAGGGTTCAGTTTAGGTCATTTGGTAGGTATAACTTTTGGACAACATGATAGTATTTTCATTTATGGATGGACTGTCCATTTGAGAGCATAAAATGTATCTGTTAGTGATGTTAATGTGCGTGATCCATGCACATTGATTCATGATCATATGAGAACAGCAGACTACAGGAAAGTGAAAGAATTCATTGAATAGTCACATGAAATAAACCATCTTCTCTGAAATGTTGCATCAGTCAGCTGACACAAAAGGACAAGATGTGAAATGACTGTATGTGGCACTCACAATGACCTTTGCATTGGAAATCTGATTTTCAAAAAGGGGCCTTGGACATTATGGATTGAACATAAGATTTTGAGTAATAGATGTTTTATTTAATTTTTGAAAGCTCTTTTCAGACAAATACATTTTAGCAGGCACCTATGTGGTAATCCAGGTCAAAAAGAGAGAAAAGAGGAATAACATGAATGGGAACATTGTTTCATTTGAATGTATGTGGCTGTAACCAGAAAAGACTAATTATCACTTTGCTCTTTTGTCTTAGTGACCTTTTTTTGCCCTTTCACTAGGAAACGGGATAACCTGTAACCTTCAACTCTTATTACTTCTCTAAAACAACTGGTACAACAGGAGTCTTGATATGCAGTCATTGTATTTCAACAAATACACAACTCGCAAACACCTGCGACACAAACTGATACAAATGACTCAATATAATGGAAAGAATAAAAAATACTTTTTAAATAAGACTGTTAAGGTCCAAGACTTTTTTCAGTCATTTTAGAAAACAGCATCAATCTGCACATCATATCTAGTTGTGTTCACTATTTAAAAAGGTAATCATTTATTATTACCCACCAGATATGATGTATTGTGTGTGCAGTAACATCTTTGTAAGAAAACATGCAGTATTACAGTTTGTCTTGTGTTTTTACAGGTATCTTGTCAGCCACTGGAAATGGTTATGTCATATATATGACCATCAAACGGAAGAGCAAGTTAAAGCCACCAGAGTTCATGATGCTGAATCTAGCCGTGTTTGACTTTGGCGTATCAGGTGAGACTGTGCGTTTGACTGACTTGATGTCATGCTGCTGAAATATTGTTTTCATCTGTCAGATGTGCTTTTCAACAATGAATTCATATTTATAAAGTGAAATAGAAGTGAAATGATGTATTAGATAACTGAAAGGATCTCTTTGTTGTTTATAGGATTTTCTGTCTTTGTGTGTGCGTTGAAGATACATATAAAGTTTTCTGTGTATAGTTTGTATAGCTTGTATTGGGCTTTGGGCATTATGTTCTGAGTTGACAGCATGGCAATAAATCTGCCAAGGTTATTCAGTGCCTCTTTTATGATACTTGTCACTGTCTTCTTCTTACTGATTTATTTGCTGTTATTGAATTGATGCACCTGTATAAATCATACACAGAATTTTAAGCCACAAGGTTACAAAAGTGAACAAAAGAACAAATATACCTTGATTGACCCTCTTTTCCTTCAGCTTACTCTGGTCATCTTTTTCTTATTTTAGTGTTTAGTCACTAAAATACTACATTACATGTCATGACCACATCTCTCTCAGTGTGTTTTTGCACTTTTTGCTATAAAGTCTACTGTAGATATTTATTCTGTATACTATAAGCACTTTTTGTGAATAAGGACTTGTAGAAAATGCTTTTAAAGCATCCACAACTGTGGATATAAAGTACATGCATTACAATTTGTGTTAAAGTCACTGATTATATACCAACAGTATATAATTTTTAATTACTCTTTGTTTAGATCATAATTTATTTTGAAAACAACAATTCATATTTTATGATAGCTATTAATATTATACAGTAAGAATCAAAACAGTCATATCTATATTTAACATACATTTAGAAAGATAATGGCGGCATGATGTATATTTTACTAAGTTTATTAATGTGACCTTCATATAACAAGAAAAAATTAAAACTATGTTAAAATATAACATAAAAAAACATAAAGTGCTTATGGTTATTGATTATGAGTGTGTTTCGTTCACAAATTTGGAATGCTAAACTGCTAATAGAAAACACATGACATGATTGCTGAAATATTGTCAGAGAAAATTATTATTCTTAAATTGGTATTATATAATCTCCATTGTTTGACAAATTTATCAGTACATTTTTAATGGGGCACAGAGGTATTTCATTGGGGCTTGTACCCCCAGTAAAAAGGAACCACTGATTCCAATGTGCTGGCCTTTGTTCCTTCTTCATAACAAAGATTTCCTCTCCTTCAACAAATTTGTATTCATACTTGTACTCTAGGCCCACCTAGTGGATATTTAGTGTCGCTTCCTCAGGGGAGCAGTGACCCCTGATAATAAATCCAGCATTTCTTAAAGTATTACATGCTGCTTACAGCTCAATTTTCATTTAAATAGATCTTTTTTTGGTAACACTTTACAATAACAGTACATGAATAATCATGTACTAATGCCTAAATTAAATATTACATGAAGTAATGATGATTAAGGCATATACTAATCAAGCTAAGCTAATCGACTTTAATTATAGCAAGTGTGAATTCATGTGTGATTAATGTCCACCTTGACTACATGTTAGTATATGTTTGTTACACACATGAATTCATATGACTATTAGTTCTTGATTACTACATGCCTTAACTCAATAGTTCATATTTAATTAATATTTAATTTAGGTGTTAGTACATGATTGTTCATGTACTGTTATTGTAATAATCTGCATAATCTGTTTAGTCGCCATCATCCTTAAAGGCAGGGTAAGTGATTTCTGGTAGCCAATGTTGATATTTGAAATCACCAAAACAAACACGCCCCTACCCCAAAAGGGTCTTGCCCCTATTTTGATAGCTCCGCCCCACATATACGTACGCAACCCAGGCAACGATTAGTTCTGTGAAACAAAGCAAAACCAATGTTACACCGTGTCTACATCGGACGTGAGCGGCGCGGCGCAACAAATCCCAGACAGAAAACTGCTGCCGGGTTCTATTATGACGTGCTGACACAAATTTCAAATGGTTTTCAACAGTCGTTTGATCGCGTCCAGTGTAGGCAGACTTTAGCTGTTGTAGACACAGTGTTACTCACCTATTGAGAAGAAACAAACCAACCTCGGCGTCCGATCGCAGGCCTCCGCTCCTTGAGTTCTCTCCAGCGCTGGAAAGCTGATCCGATATTTACACGGGTCCTACTTCTTGCCTTATCGTTCCGCAGACGTTTTCCTCTTTTGTTTTTTATCCACCATCCCTATCTTTCTGTCGCTCTGCTCGGCTAATGTCCGTCCCATGCACTGAAAGCTCTCTCCTCCACATCACGAGTAGACACGCCCCTTATTGCTGATTGGCTACAAGTTTGTTTTGCTATTCGGCCCGAATCAGTTTTCTAAAGTGTTTTTGAAAAATTACATACCCTGCCTTTAAACACTTACTTTCTAAGATTTGCAGAACAAACGACCTCCTGTGTAGCTCATAAAGTTCATTCCAGTTAATTAAAGGTGTCATTTTCTGAGCCACTGCCAAAAATAAGGACTGTTTTCAAATAAGTTTCTCTCTGCCTGCAACTGGTCAGTCGACAGTCCTGCCCCAAAATCACAGCATTGGTTTGATCAAAACAAACTGAGTAATAATGTTTTTTGAGAGAATCAGTTTACAAAGGGCTTACTTATAGCTGCCTTTGTATATTAGTTGGGATGGGAGAAAGTAAATTACATCGATAAGTTGTGCTTGTCAGCCATAGCTTGAGCATGAGGGACGAGAAATTTTATCAGATATGATTATAAGTAAAAAATAATAAGGCAGGGGCGTAGCCATCATTTCAGAAGTGAGGGGGACAGAAATGTTATATATATTAATATATAACATTATAATTAATTAATATAATTAATAATCTATATAACCTACCAGTCAACAGTTTTTGAACAGTAAGATTTTTAATGTTTTTGCGAATACACTTGCCCGAAAAAGTGCGGGGGACGAATTTACGTGATATTAAAAGTGGGGTGGACACGTCCCCTGCGTGCCCCGCGTAATCTATGCCCCTGTAATAAGGCTTTTGTTTCCCAGGAGTCATGCACATGGCAGACTACTCTAGTGTGTCACATTTACGCAGACTTCGGGTCATCGTGTGCTTTCCACCTCTGGCTACTCTCCCACATTTTTTGTCAACATATATGTAATCTGTATGTATTAATGAGTATCTGCATCATATGTCAAACAAATATAAATTTAGGTATTTTAGATATAGACAGTCATCAAAGATATTAATTATAAAAAAGATATGAAATCTTTTTAACATTTTACAAAATTTTAAGAAACATCAGGAATTATAGTTTGCAGTTTGCTGCGCTCTTGTATGTTATTTTTAAGGACATGAATCTTATTTTATTTGGATTATACTAATTACATGTGAACATGAATGATTATGGAACATGAATAAACATTGATTATACTGCGTGGTCAGCTCTGTATATTAATTCCTTTTTTAGGGAACTTTTGAACATCTGCCATCACCATCCTCTAATTACGAGTATCGAACAGGAACACAAGAGTTAATATTTTCATCCTACAAAGCACTTCCTAAATACTGCGCTTCTTTCCTCTCTTATATGCAGTTAGAAGGCAGGCTTTAATTTTTTTCCAGAAGATCTGTCATTTGTGACCCTGGACCACAAAACCAGTCATAAGGGTCAATTTATCGAAATTGAGATTTAAACATCATAAATAAGCTACAATATTTGGACGAGATACAACTATTTGAATATCTGGAATCTGAGGGTGCAAAAAAAATATAATACTGAGAAAATCGCCTTTAAAGTTGTCCAAATTAAGTTCTTAGCAATGCATATTAATAATCAAAAATTAAGTTTTGATACATTTACGGTAGGAAATTTACAAAATATCTTCATGGAACATGATCTTTACTTAATATCCTAATGATTTTTGGCATAAAAGAAAAATCGATAATTTTGACCCATACAATGTTTTTTTTTGGCTATTGCAAGCGACTTAAGACTGGTTTTGTGGTCCAGGGTCACATTTGCTGACTCTTTGCTAGTATTACTATGCATAGTTTAGCTATAATGTCATTGCTCCAAAACATGGATACTGCTCGGGCGGTCTTGGTTGTTCCCAGTTTCTCTGTGTGAAATTGCCCTCTGAGAGCTTGCTGTGAAACAAAAGTATTCTTTTTTTCAGTGATATTTGCTTATGAAACTTTTTATGGCTTGTTTAACATCAAGTTCTTTTTGTATGTTTTGTCAGTCACTGGAAAGCCATTCTTCATAGTGTCTAGTTTTTCCCATCGCTGGCTGTTTGGCTGGCAGGGCTGCCGCTACTACGGCTGGGCCGGCTTTTTCTTCGGATGCGGAAGTCTCATTACTATGACGATTGTCAGCTTAGACCGCTACTTGAAGATCTGTCATTTAAAATATGGTAATTAAAATTAGCCTACCTGTCTGTCTGTGATTCTGTTTATTCTGTCTGTCTGTCTAACTGTCATTCTATCTATCATTCTATATCTGTCTGTCGTTCTATCAATTGTTCTATCTGTCATCATATCTATTGATGTGTCTGTCAGGCGTTCTATTTGTCTGTTATTCTATCTTTTGTTCTACTGTATATGTCTTTCGGTCTGTCGTTCTGTGTTTCTATTTGTCTGTAGTTATATCTGTCTGTCGGTGTCTGTTATATCTATTCGATCTGTCTGTCGTTCTCTGTCGTTCTGTAATCTGTTAATCTATCTTTCTATATTTCTATCTGCCTACCTGTCATTCTTTACTGTTGTATCTGTCAGTCTGTCTGTTGTTATATTTATTCTGTTAGTCTGTCATATCTATTTTTATTTCTGTCGTTCTGTATTTCTGTCTATTGTTCTGTATTTCTATCTGTTTATCAATTTTTCTATCTGTCTGTCTATCTGTCATTCTGTATTTCTAGCAATTTGTCGTTCTATCTATTGTTTTAGCTGTCTAGCTAGCTTTACTAACATAATTTTACTCTGCCATCAGGTGCGTGGTTCAAAAGGCATCATGCCTTTCTCTCTGTGGTTTTTACATGGATCTACGCTGCCTTCTGGGCCACCATGCCAGTGGTGGGCTGGGGTAACTATGCACCTGAGCCGTTTGGCACCTCCTGCACGCTGGACTGGTGGCTGGCCCAGGCCTCGGTGTCTGGCCAGTGCTTTGTTATGTGCATGCTCTTCTTCTGCCTCATCTTCCCCACCTGCATCATTGTCTTCTCCTATGTCATGATCATCTTCAAGGTGAAATCCTCAGCCAAAGAAGTCTCTCATTTCGACACACGGAACAAGAACAACCACGTCCTGGAGATGAAGTTGACAAAGGTTTGCGTGTTTTAATAATCATAAATGCTATGTGGAAATGCCATGTCATTTTTTTATATGGTTCCATTTGCATCCTCCAGGTGGTGATGTTGATCTGCGCAGGGTTTTTAATAGCTTGGATCCCTTATGCTGTGGTATCAGTGGTGTCTGCTTTTGGAGAGCCTGATTCAGTGCCTATCCCAGTCTCTGTTGTGCCAACTTTGCTGGCCAAGTCCTCTGCTATGTACAATCCAATCATATATCAAGTCATTGACTGTAAGAAGAACTGTGCAAAATCATCCTGCTTTCAAGCTTGGAGTAAAAAGAAACACTACAAGACATCAAGGTATGTGCAACGTTCAAATTCTAGAGGAATGAGGGATGAACTGGCTTCTGGTCACATTTTTATATATGTACATCCTTAAAGGAATATTTACCCCAAATTTGCTGAAAATGTACTCACCCTCAGGCCATCCAAGATGTAGATTGGTTTCCTCATTTGAACAGATTTAGAGAAATTTATCATTACATCACTTGCTCAACATTAGATCCTCTGCAATGAATGGGTGCCGTCAAAATTACTTGTGGATTATTGTAATGTTTTTATCAGCTGTTTGCACACTCATTTTGATGTAATGCTAAATCTCTCCAATTTCCACCAATTTCTCCATCTTACCTGAGGGTAGTTTTTCATTACTTCTCTTGATTGTGTCTTCTGATACATCTGTTGGGACCCCTGTTATTACTCCCTTCATCCATTTCTTCTCTTCCAACAGTGTACACGAAATTTTTTTCCCTGCTAATGTCTTTAAGCCTAGTACCTGTTTTTGTTGTCTGCTATCTTTACAAAAAAGTAGCAACTTTCCATTCCGTAACATTTTCGCATGTTCGATTTTCCCGATCTCTTCTTTGATCGCTTTAGTTATTTTCAGTGGGTTCAATGCATTCATATTATCGGACAAGAAATGTATCATTACCTTAAACTCTTCCTTTTTCCTTTTCTCCTGTTGTCTTTCCCTTTCACTTTCCGAACCAGAAAGTTGATTCCATTTTTTTTTCCTTTTCCGATTTTCTACTATGTTCCAATTTCCATTTTTACCTCCTTTCTCCCCGCCACTACATTCATCCTCTATGTCCAGCTCACTTCCTGATCCTACGTCACTTCCTTCCATCTCTGCTCCAGTCACATCCTAGTGTCGCCAACCGCCCTCGTCGTCTACTTCACTTTGTCAGGCAGTTCCTATTTAAGAGATTTCTTGATTGCGAACAGGTGTGGCAGTAATCAGGCCTGGGTGTGGCTAGAGAAATTGAACTCAGGTGTGATAAACCAGTTTTAACAGGGGGGCAAACACTTCTTCACACAGGGCCATGTATTTTTGGATTTTGTTTTCCCTTAATAATAAAAACCTTCATTTAAAAACTGCATGTTGTGTTTATTTGTGTTATCTTTTACTAATATTTAAATTAGTTTGATGATCTGAAACATTAAAGTGTGACAAACATGCAAAAAAATAAGAAATCAGGAAGGGGGCCAACACTTTTGCACACCACTGTAAATGTTCATGAATTATTCCTCTGCACTATAATCATCATATTATGAATCAAGGGCAATATGCAAATGCATATATCCCACTGTGGGTGGATGATTTTTGCTGCTGTGCCGCATCTCGCTGTCTGTCTTGTTCCATTAGTGTTGTGTTAAGACACTATCTTTAAGTCAATTAAAAACAGTTACCTGTGTCGAAATGCATGCATCAAGTTTTAGCTGGTTAGCCTGGCCCTGTTAGCCTTTTCTGGTAGATTTTGTGATACACAGTGTATTATTTTCCATTTATGCCATGCAAAAGTGACCACGTATTCTTATGAAATCTTTTGTTTTTTATTGCTGATATTTCGATATAGTAGTAGTTGTTTTACAAATTTGGTTTTGCAGAGCTCTTAAAACAATGGAAATTCTGAATGCAAAAACATCTGTCTTTATAGATTTGTTGGTATGCAGCAAGAATGTGATGCACTTGCATGTTCATTGTCATTGTCCAACTATAAACTTTAGACATCAACAGTTCACACCCGCCTAACTATGCTGTTGTGTCCTACTGCCGTCAACTTCACATACTCTGCAAACACATCTCTTAAGTTGATCTGTGTGTGTATAAAATAATTAAGTGGTAAATATGATGTATTTTTATATATTTTTTTTATTTGTGTGTATTCTATTCCAGCATTCTCAGAACCACAATGTTTAAACAAGGACACCGTAAAATAGTGTTACCTAATTTTTAAAACGCTTATTGGAAAGATTTTTGACATAAAATCTAGTATGACTTGATTAGGCTGAACGTAACAAAAACAACTGATTGACAGAAGACTATTGAATGCAGCTGTCTTGTTTTTCTCAGGTTTTACTCCATCTCTGCCTCCCAGAAACAGAGACCAGCCAATGAAGTTCCAGTTGAGATATGAGGAAATGACAGGAACTCACAGTGGGCCTGTGATAGGACACTGGGCAATTTGTTATTGTGCAATTTAGACATCAACAGTTCACACCCGCCTAACTATGCTGTTGTGTCCTACTGCCGTCAACTTCACATACTCTGCAAACACATCTCTTAAGTTGATCTGTGTGTGTATAAAATAATTAAGTGGTAAATATGATGTATTTTTATATATTTTTTTTATTTGTGTGTATTCTATTCCAGCATTCTCAGAACCACAATGTTTAAATCATCTGCTTGAAGTCTAAAGTGACATCGCTTTTCAACAAGTCTGTGTTCAGTTTATTGTATCTTATTGAAACCGGTCACACACACATATCTATACAACAGCATGGTCACAGATAAACAACAATATATAGATATAGCTATATACAGTATACACAACATGAGTGCATAATATTATTATTATTATTTATCAAATTAAATGTGCACTGATTGAGACTATTGAATTTCGTTTACATTATTATAACAGACGTATCATGATAGTTTCAGGGCATGTGCAATGATTATATACTTACATCAGCAATTTTACATAGAAAGGTGTCCCCCAAATATTCAGTCCATGGTCTTAAGAATTTGTATGTTTTCTTCATTTTATTTTTAAACATTTAACTCATTTTAACATTATTTTTATATAGTAACCTTTTTGCATGTTATCAACCTGCAGAAAGCCTCTAAGGTTAAAAGAAGAAAGTGAACAGTTGGTAAAGATAAGTTGTTTACAGGTACTAGTGAGGTCAAACGTTTTCCATAAATATTGTAGATGTTCTGTGGAAGTTGGACAACTAATGGAACTTCTAACAGGTAATACTGTAGCAAGCTGCGTTTACAAAATGTTAGATGTTTCTTTTTTTAAATAACAGAGACCAGCTTATGTCAGAAAATGAGCTCTTAGAGGGCCTAAAATGAACATTCACGGTATAATGGTGTTTTATTATCAGAGAGAAGCTTGTAAATACTCAAAACAAAATGCGAGCACAATAATAGCTAAATAGTATTAAATATTAAATAGGTTAAACTTATTTTGATGCAGATCACTGTTTTACCTGAATGGCAACCAGTAAGATTTTTGTAACTGGAGGCTTGGTTATACGACAGACATATTATCACTACAAAAATTGTTGAAGAAATTAATTACAAAGAAACAAGAAGTAACATTGAGTTAAACATGAAATTTTGAAACGGAAAGACTGAAATAGTATTTTCTTGTATCCATTAATCTTTTTTTACATCTTTGAAAAATAATATTTTACAGTGTACAGTGATAAAAACTAAATAAACAAAAGCGAATTGTTCAGAAATATATTTTCTTGGAAGGCAAAATATTTAGCGGAATGTCCAGGTTAATTTTATAATGAAAGGGGACTTTGAAACTATTCTGATTTTTTTCTTTTTCAGCAGAAAAAAAAAAAAAACCTTTTGAAAAAGTGAACCACAATTTGAAAAGCTTTGAGCCACAATTGAGTAAATGAAATATTTTTGAATGAAAGATTTCTTTTTTATATGCATCATATGTAGCTCAGACAATTGTTTACAAAGGTCTTTAGCTTTAGTGTAAATTCTAGAATAAAGTTTAACTTACTTGCAAATGCACGGTTTGATCTTGTTGGGTTCAGTACTGACCCTCTGACAACTGTATTACCCAAGGTACTTCAAATCCTTTCAGTATGTTGGTAGCTGATCCTTATGGTGTTGGATTTCCCTCAGCAGTTTATCCCGTTTTTCAGCTGTTCAATATAATGCCCACATCTTTTCTCTGATGCTTTCATGCCGTTGTGACAGAGAGGGTGACTTCCCCTGCAAATCAATGCCCCAGTTGCAGGAAGTAACGAATGCACTGGATGCCTCACTGCCTGCCTTCTGTTGTCCTTGTCGTAATGCGGTTTACAGCATGCAGGAGCCAGAATAACAACTAGACAATACGCTAAAAGACCCTTCAATTTCCAGTGAAAGCTTTAAAAGCCACCTCTCATGTTGTCTTTAAGTGAGACTTGAATTAAAAGCCTTTTCATGTATCTTATGCTTTAATCAGCTGCTTGATGAATTATGTAATGTTCTGTACAGTATATAGTATGTATGAGTATGAGTGATTAGCACATTGAACCTAAAGTGAGAAGTAATGAAACCAAAGGTAAACTAATCATGTCATTGTTTCATTTAGGTAGATAGGATACGCTATTCTTCTCAATCAGATCTGACAGGCTTGTCAATGAATAAGACTGATAAACCTTACAAAAAAAAGAGAAGCTTTTAAAGAAGCAGGAATTCCTGAAATCACCATTAAATGATAGAATAGACTATTCTACTATAAATATCATTTTACTTGATCAAACCTAAGAAAATGGTTTTCACATATGGTCCCTGAAAGCACTTAGAAGCAACCAGAAAATGCATGTGAATTGATGTAGAATGGGATGACTAAAGTGTTCTAAATCTAACAGGTGATCTGGGAGCCAAATAAAGCTGGCATATGCATTAAGAGTTTTTACAAACACAAATGTTTTATTGAAATTATAGTATATTAAATGCAATTAGCAAATCATTAAATACCTTTAAATAAGAGGAATACGAACCACTGAAATTTGGAAACATTTCGAAACAGTTGTGAGGTAGCCTAACGAAGCCTCTTTTAGGGCCATTCTACAGAATTGGTGAAACTAATACACGAACAGTATTACTTTGTTTTGACAGTTAGTATGTGACTTCCTTGAAACCAAACCAATAACGGCGTCTCTTTTGATAATTGATCTGCTCTCGTCCAAATTCTTCATGGCTACAGTAGCGGCACGCGCCTCTGGTGATAGTAATCGTTGTTTTGAACGTGCTGTAAAACGGGGACATGACACCAAAATCTGAGACTGTCCCCGGAAAACGGGGACGTCTGGTCACCCTAGATTAAAGGTTCCTAACAGGCTGTGTCACTATGAATAAAAATGTACGTCGGTATGCAGTTTTCCCTATTGCTCGCGTGCTATAGATCCGGGAGATTCAGCTCAACACAACAGACACGCTGAGCTGATGAGCTCACAGCTGCTTACCCACGCGCGTACACATGCCCTCCTCCCTGCGACAATCAAATGGACCGTTCTCATGACCTGATGGGAATTACAATTAGCCTAAAACTCCTTTTACAGTTGCAGTCATTTCTTATTCACTCTTGGAACAACGGTATGTCCCTTCCTGTATTATATAGACATTTAACCTTTTTGCATGGCAGTTCCTTTGTACAATGCAGACAAGGCCTACAGTAGATTCGAGAAAGGTAGCGAAGCATGATTATAGGCTACTATATTTCTCAGCGGTGAGTGGTAGCGTCGCTATTTTAGAAATCATGTCGCAGAACAATTTTATTAATCATAGCAGGCTAGCGTTGTTATATGCTAAAAAAAAAATTCTTGACAATTATTCAGTAATAAAGACGCGTATTCTTTTTCGGCTGTTTTGAATCAGAAGAAGGTGTCCGCGATTATTTTCAACCTGTCTGAATCATCAGTTTTCGTTTGAATCAACCGGAGTAGTCCCAGGGTAAATGACTCACTCAAATGAATCGGTTGGGAGGTTCCTTTAAACAGGACATAGATAATTTCTTATCTCTTACTTATCTTTTATTTAAAAAATACACACGAACAACAACTGGAAATATAATCTGTTTATACTTCTTTTGGGGATTTTAAATAAATAGTCATTTGTTCAAAGTACAGCTTATTATTTGGAAAATGAATAGCTTGAAGTGTAACTAGGGTCTCTAAAGGGTCAATCATTTTTCAATATAGGCCTAGTAGTTTGCAGCTTTGCTAGCACTTTTATTGTAGTATAGCGACACACTATATCATATGGCAGAACAATTAAAGAATTTACTTTTTATTATTAAAAATATATTTTTGTGTCCTTAATAAATTTATCGATCGATTGATTGATTGATTGATTGATAGATAGATAGATAGAAAGGCTTGGAGACATGTGGATAAGTACCTCAGGGATGGAGAGAGAAGATCAACCTGTCTGCACTTTCATGTCTCTTAGCACCTGTTTGAGTTTATCTCTGGACTTCCCTTCTCAATCAAACCCACATCATAAAAGGAAGTTGCAGGCAAAGTAGCTCTGATGGGACCCCAAGATCATTATGTTCTCTACTGATACATCACTATCTGTCAAATGCCACGCGGTTGGTCAAAATGTAGAAAATCACCATACATTGTGAATACAACACTTGATGAAATAAATGTGTCAGAATAGCCACATGGGTGAAATTTATTTCAAATATATTGACTAAAGGACAAAGGATGAACGTTTTTGGTATTTGGGTTAAAATCAAGGGGTTAAAGTTTGGATGGTTAGCATTAGCCAGTTAGCACCTGTGGTAGAGGCTGTAACTACACATCTGGGCCCAAAAATCTTTACCCATTTTTGACTGCCCTTCAAAAATAGTCATGTTTTATGATGAAATATTTAATTATATTATAGATCAGGGGTGGCGAACGTCAGTCCTGGAGAGCCGCAGCCCTGCACAGTTTTGCTTCAACCCTAATCAAACACACCTGAACAAGCTAATCAAGGTCTGAAAGGTTACCAGAAAGCTACAGGCAGGTGAGTTTTAATTAGGGTTGGAGCTGTACTCTGCA